TATTTAATTTTATTTACTAAATAAACGACGATACACTACGAATAGAACAACGCCAGAATAAAATCCAAATCCTACCAAACTTTTGACGTTTGTACGAAAAATCACCACGCCCACGAAAGTATGTGCTTTCACCAATAAAAGTTTTGGTACTGATGCTCATTCTACTGAATCTATCATGTGCGTCCTGTTTAACTCGATACAATATGCGCAGGAAATGGTAATATATTTTTGGGCTCACCGACATGTTGAACTTGTTAACAATTCCTCTTGTACAGTATAGCGAAGATCTATTCTCAGCACAAGCACGCGAAACGGCAATATAGCGAAGACTGGGCAGGAGAATCCTCGTTTATCCAGATATTGAATTCTACTTGCGCTACAGGAAAATCGGTAACTTTTATTCACTGCAAGTCCTCCTCAAGACTCCCTAACTTCATAGCACTCGCAAAACAACTTCATCGGCGCTCAAGCGTGAGCGAAACGAATATCCTGGAGGAAATCCTCGATGAAAGCCAGCGAATTCAGGGAAGTCCCGAAGTCAAACACGTGACCGGTCGACCTTACTCTTCTGGATCCAACCAATAAAAAGGAAGCTCAATAACACAACTCTTGCGAGGGAACTTTAAATTATTACAGAGGCGGATCCAGATACTGTGTAAGTGATAAGGAAGCAATTAGTGCTTTTTCTGTAAATATTTCATTAAGAGTTATTGCCAATTATGCAATGCGTCTCTAGACTCCCCTTCCTTGAATCGGCTCTAAATAATTGGTACGAGATACCTTTCATTTGCATTTTTTAATGAAACTAATGCTAATAGTCCTTAAAGATTAATGTAATGAACAAGAATCATGGTATTTGATTTTCTTTGCCTGTATGTTTCTTGAGAAATTACTGAAGAGATTTTATTTTAACAATTTAAGAAAGTTCATGTAAAAAGTCTTGTTAAGTTTTTAAGAGCAGTTAATGAGCTAATACCCATATTTTTTTCTCCTTTATAGAAATTTAACATATTTTACTTGATGTCATGAACAATAAAAGATTCACAATACATTGTGAATCAAAACATATTTATATAATAGTTTATACAAAAAGAAATACGATCTAGTATTCTTCATCTGAATAGTGATTGTTTCAAATATTAGAATACCTTTCCATTATAATCAAGATTGTCTTTGGTACACAGTGTACTGATCTTTTATAATACATCAGTTTTGCAACTGGTATTCTTATTTCATATGAACCATCTTATTTCATATTCAACCATCCATACTTGCCATACGCACTTTCTACGCCTTGAATAAGTTGGGGAAAAAAATTTGCTTGTCTTACCAGAGAATGCTATCAACCTGTTAGGGAATATTTCCATCAACATTGCATAAAAACTAAATGCACTTCATGAAAATCAGCCATCTGAAGAGTACTATTAATAAAAATCTCAATACATAGTCTAACAAGGAATTAGACAAGTTCAAGAACGTTAAATTTTGAAAATGGATTGAAATTGATCAAAACCCATTAAAAAATTAGTAAATTGAATAAGTGTATGGCACTGAGCTCAAACATTATCCTATTAGATATTTCTTAACACATTTTACTTTTAAATATGATAAATCAAATATTATTTCAAATGAGAGACCTGCTTAGATTGTTCAAAGCATCAATCAATATCACTAAGATTTTAAACACTAGCTACTATGCTGGATCGAATTCAGCTACTGACTGGAGGAGAATTTTAGAAGACAGCTTCTCTGATCAGTGGGTAGTTTTCCATGTTTTATCTGATCAACACCAGGTGAATGACAGAGCAGTACCTTAACAAACAGACCATGAACTGTGCATGATCTTTCCTTCCTCTTTCTTGTCCTATCATCACCCCTTATTTATATTTACATGCACTACGTTATCACTCATACCTGGAGCTTAGAATTTGTCTCGGCTAGGGCAATGCCCTACTGGTGGAAGACTATGTTTGCAAAAACCCCACAAGACATGTAGGTTGGCACTGGATCTTGCCATCCAGCAGGGGAAAACCTCTGCCACTTCCCGCAATAAAAAATGCCCTTCATTAACGGGATTAATGACCCTAGCTGTTCACATGCCCAGGAACTAATGAATCAATCAAATAAAAGACTTAATGGAGAGTTTATGACATGGAACAATATTTTCAAAATTATATCATATTGAGGTAAAGAGTAGTCTTCAGTCAAACAACTACATACTAATATTAGTTAAAAAACTATCAGATGCCTTTTATGTTCCTTTACAAAAAATGATTTGGTTACATTTTATGGGAATATTACAATATTATTGTATCTAACATTTGAAATAGTGAATTTCTCTTCTTTGCACACACAATTAATTTAATTCTTATATTAATGACAAAAATGACGGGCTTTTCATTAAGTTGTAGTAAATCTGTTACCATAAATTATAGCGTGATCCTTAAATTTTTCTTTGCTGCAAAATAAAAATCTATTTTATCTTTCACATGATTCACAATTAGAGAGGGAGGACTCTCATTAACTACTTACTAATCATGTAAATCTATTACATTCTTTAAATATTCACTATGGACAATAATATTGGTACATACAAAATGTATAGACATTTTATCCTACTATGAAAACACTAACTTTAAAAACTGAGAAATTTTAGTGCGTGTTTCTAACGTGAAGTAATTTTGGTATATGTGTCCATCTGCTCAATCAAAATTATCAACATTTGATTTGATTTAAATGGAAATTCTTCCGTCACATTTTAGCATACCTGGTACCTTTTTTGAGGGGGAGCTACCCCACCAAAGAGTGAGAGGCTTTTGCCCTGGTCGGGGGTGTAATAGCTTAATAATAATAATAATAATAATAATAATAATAATAATATGCAATAATAATAATAATAAGTGGAAATTCTGACCTTAACAAAGAGTTCATGTGGAAACATGCCGGAATCTGAATTCTTATTTTAATTGTCAATAACTAACAGGCATGAAAATATAATTGCAATTGTCTTTTTAATAATTAATGAACAATAATAATAAGTTAATAAAAAAGGGGAAAAAAACTACAACAATTATATTTTTATACCTGTTCTGCATTGCCAGAGTGAACAAAGACAAGAGAGCATCAATTTAATTCATCATCCTTCATGAAAATATGAAGAACAGCAGTAATCACAACAAATTCAAGAAATTTAGCAAAAATATATTCTTGAAACTATAACTTACCAATATGATGCAAAACAAATTAACAGAAATCATATTTGTGTTCCAACTGGAGAGAATTTGAATCAACAGTATTCTTGGCTTTTCTGTTGGGCAACTACAGTCACGAATTTATTCAGGGACATGGGCCAAAATTTAAAAATATTTAATTTTGAAATGACAGCTAATTTGACTAAATAAAGGATACTCACATCATTACTCTAAAAAAGGACCTTTAATTGCACCTACTGTGTTTAATAATACCATTGTGAAAGTAATTTCCAAATGCATAAAATGCCTGACTGATCACAAGGTCAATTTCATTTTAATCAAACGGAAATTTGCTGAACTACATCAAATTAAATCCTTTCCGAATAGAATAATTCACCTTTTTAGTGCATGCTAAATTGTGTGAATCAATTTTCTTTTTTAGAAAAAGGTAATATAAATTCTGTGTTATAAGAAAACAGGCCATACAATACATCAATATCATAAATTCTACTTATATAACACTGAGAAAAACACTAACTAAAATTAACTTTCTGTGTACTTTGGAAACTACATTGAAACGAATAAAATTCAGAAAGTGAATCAAACAGGAGTAAGAGTATTGAAATGAACAAAATAAGAAATATCATCAAAGCAATTTCAAACACAAGCAATTGTTTATTACAACACACTTGCTTCAGTTTGATTCACTTTCCAAATTTCAAACTTTTTCTACTTAATCAAAACAATACAATGATTAAGGTTAGAGGTGAAATGAAGTCTTTTGTCAGTCACTTGAAGAAATCAATACTATTAAACCAAAGGATCTTGACAGCTTTCATTTTTTTATTTGTACACAAAAATAAATCATTGGGGTTTTTGTTTTTAACATAATAAAATTGTTTTAAATGATGATTGTGATGTTTTTCGTAGGTACTACTAAATTTTCGAGAATTTCGGGTTGTCTAATGGAAATTTAAAGTAAATACTATTTGTTATGTCTTGTTAAATAAACTTGCTGACTTGCAATCTGTCAAAAAATATTAAACAATAATATATGTTAACTCATAAAACAGTTGAGAGGAGCTGAAGATCATAAAATTGACTAAATTTTACACAGGTTAACCACAGGAAAGTTACAAGAACATATCGTTCGGATTTAAAAAAAGAAAATTAGTCTTACTTCATGTAGTTGCAACACAAGTATAAAATAAAAAATGGTGTTAAAAGCGATTAAGCGAAAAAGATCTGACTTTAGCAAATTAATTACATTTTGGAACACTAAGGACATGGAAAAGGGTTTAATGTTTGTTTCACTAGTAATTTTGTAAAATCTACAACATATCAGAAGGAAAAAACATTTCAATTTATTTCATTGAAATAAGAAATTGTACTGTGTAATCTATGAAGTAATGTTCATTTCAATTCACATAATTATTTTCTGAAAACATATTCAATTTAATTACTTTCTGTTTCCAAGAAATATACTCATTCAATTTTTGTAACAATTTTTTTAAGTCCTAAATTAAAATCCAAAATGGTTGGGTAACACAGTACTCTTTGCACATAGTTCTTCATTTAACTTCAAAATAGTAACTAACTATTAATATTATGATGGATAATTCATTTTTTTAAATTTATAATTATTTCAGTTTAATGGAATACATAACATTTGTTGACACTTCCTAAAATTATATATTTCAAAGAAAACTATCTTTCTATTTTAATATAAATTTATCTCCAACAATCCCTCATGTTTTTCCTTCTGTTGCAAAATTGAAATTTCTAAATATAGAAAACATGATTATCTGAATTATGTACAGTTTATTGCTAGGTCTATACAATCTGTACAGAGTTCCTCACAATAGGAGCAAACAGTTGTAATTAAGATACAAGATTGGATCCAGGCAGTCTGTACTTTTGCATCTGTCACAATGGAATGCTATGGACATTTGAGGACACCTAACACACGTTCTCTACCAAGCCAAGATCCCAGAGATACTTGACTGTAGTAAAATTTATGTACTAGCAGTCATTACATTTACCCCATTAGTAAATACAGTACAGTGGTGCTTAACCTCAATATTTCTCAGTAAAATAAATAATGCTAGTACTAATACAATAATAAAATGACTCCAAAATTTGATTATCATTTCATATACAATACAAATCAATGTTTAAAATGATTTTATTTTCAATTATATCTAATACTTATGATCCCTTTCATTACTGTACAAACAAGTTGTGCATTGAAAAGACTAGTCAGCATTTTTATAATCAAGAATTGATTGGCCCATGTCTATTGTTCTGACATGGCTCCAGGGATGTGTTGCTTTGTACAAACCCCAGCTGCCTGTTTTACAATATAATACATGGGGAATAAAATAACAAATTAATGGACATTTTAAAAATTAATTTCAACAGGAATATATATAGCTCTTAACAACATGAATTATTCTAGCATCTTGGTGTTCACCATGATGTACAGCATTTCTTAACAAGTACACAAGTCCTTTTAACACACCAAGTCAACATGTTACATGTACAGTTGAACAGCTTGCATCATTGTAGCAATTTCTTAGTAATAAATATCAAGTATACTGAGCTTCTTATATATAAAGCTGCTTCCATGCTGCCTTGTACACAATAATCAGCCAGTTGTTTTAATTTTGTGCTGAACCAACTTACTAGCACGAACACACTGGTGTTGAGGGCTGGATGAATGGTTATGTAGCAAAAAGAGAAGATTTATTCTTACAAAGAGCATAGAATGAGCAATAAATACTAAATTTGTTTGTTTTTTTCGAAAATGCACTTAAATACTGCTTTAGAAAGAATATTCACAAAGACGTGATAGAAAACCTGTTAGAAAAGAAAAGGATTTTATTCACAAAGTGAATTTTTCTTTCAAATGAATTTTCCTGTATTGACAGCCAAAAGACTGATCTCTATTTTTCAAGAATGCACCAAAATATCAGTTCATATTTGATTCAGTGTTTTTTCTGCTCTAAATCCACATGAACAGTATGTTTTTAGGCACTCACGTAATGACTGTGATCTTTTCTACTTTAACTTCACTTTGGTTGCAGAAATTTCTAATATATTGAATGAACTTCAGCAGGCTAAGAGAGACTTCTGGGTTTGCCACAGTACTCTATGCAATGAAAAATGAATACGTAATGATCACAGCTATTTGTATGATGCAGCTGCATGTGGCTCAGTAAACAATATTCCTCTCGCAGAATAAGCTCCACATTTGTCACCTTACTCTGATGGACCATTAAGCTTGTTTATTATAGGCCAAGACAATTTCATAATTCGCAGATCTTTTTGCATTCTACAAAAAGATCAATTACAAATAACAGAGGAAGACTTTTTACTCATCCACATACACAAGTTTGAAATCTTGTTAGTGTTCTGAATACAGGGCATACATATACGTACATACAAACACACACACATATTTATATTATATATACACATGTACACTTCCTTATATTCTTTTACTTTCCAAACATACACTTGTTCACATATACGTATTTTCTTCATGACTCAAATTCACATAGCGCAAACAATCAGGTAATTGCAATGTTTTGTTCTTTCTCAACTAACACAGTTTAGGTTTTACATCAATGCAATATATAAAAATCATCGCAAGCAAATGCCGAGTTCTTAATTCACATTTGGAAAGGCTACAGAATATTTCAATTTGGTACAAAATAACTAACAATCAAACATTACAGATAAAAATACTGGGTGTTCTCATGAAGTACTAGAGGTAGCAGAAGTGGAAACTGATACAGATCTCCTACAGGCTAACATTAACTTCATTACTTGCCATTGCAATGCACAATATAACAGTTTCCATGTCATCAAATTTTCAACTACTTCACAAGATTATTGAATAAGATGTTTTGTTTACTCCATATTAATTGTACTGAACAATGAATTTTACAGAAAACAAATATATTACTACAAATGCTTCGAAGAATACCTTCAATAGTTGCAAGAAGGAAAAGATATAGGATGCAACCTTGTAAATAAAAAAGAAATTCATTTCACAATTTCTTTACAACTAATTATTCTATATCAATCTTAATGTGTTAAATAAATTCCTTTTCAACAGATCAAGTATTAGGCCTGGACAGAGAAGCTGTCTGATAACAGCACTGGCAACACATCAGTCACGTGCAACTGGTAACAATAAATGGTGAAGCCCAACATCACCCTGCCCATGTGCTTTGTCATTATAAGCTAGTCCACACTATTCACACAATTCTTCTTTCATAAGATTATTATTGGTCCATTTGCAGTAACAACACTACAGCCTTTTTCTAACAACGAGCAGCATGAAAGATTACATTACAGCCAAGGAATTATTTTAGAAAGGCAGTTTGTAGCTGCAATTCCATTTTTGGAAATTCATGTTCTGGGGAAATATATTAGAATATAAAATAATACTGGAGACACTAGAAGGATGTAAGACAAGTTAGCATTTCTTCGCATCATATTTGTACAAGTTTTGATTCATAGTTCCTTTTTACAATATTTCAACAATATCGGTAACCATTTTCGTACAACTAGAATTACATTGCAAGCCATTCTTTACTTTCCCTTCACAAACATACTCACTTTGTACAATATCTAGGCTTTTAAATTTTCTTAGCTGTAACATCTTAAGTCACAAAATTAAAATTGTCAATTTCATTCATTATGAATTTTCTGAGTTTTAATAATAGAGCACCAGTTGTATAAAGTACAGGAGCTTTATGGATAATGGATCAGTGAAGGAAAGAATTTTAGAGTTAATTGGAAACAGTATAATATTAAGGAGCGAAGTACTTACATATTACACAATTTACTATGCGGACATTTTGACTTTATTTTCTTCGGTTGAGTCACGCAATGGCACTGATGTTAAAACTATGCACAGTTATAATAATAATAATAATAATAATAATAATAATAATAATAATGATAATGATAATAATAATAATATTCTTAAAGCTCTTGGTTGCCGAACACGTTCAGTCCTATAATGTCTCACAAAAATGTACAATCTTCATGTTCATAAAGGATGGAGGTAGTGTAGGGTTCATTTCACTTAGCCTTCTTTGACACCAGACACAACATAGACTAGGGGAGAAGAGATTCAGCACTGGCCGAAAATCAAGTTAATAAAAAATAAAAATAACAAAGCACACCTGGATAATAAAACATCAGCCGATACATTTGTATTTTACACAAGTACTGTCTGCTGATATTTAGGCTGAGGCGCTTTTTTGTTGATAACTTAAGTATGTGGATGTCGAGTGGTATAATATCAAGACTTTGGCAGTTCAGATTCCACACGTCGTTCTGTAGCTACAGTTAAAAGATTATTAAATTCCAGTTCCAACATTTGACGCACCTGTCAAATAAATATGTGTCAGAATCACAGGTAATGAAATTTTATGAAGTTCTAGAATACATTTTTAAACATATCATAAATGAAAAGCAACTTGGGTGTCACTAAAAGAGCATCCAACAAAAATAGTGCAGTAATTTCTTATTTACCTGGGTATTTTGTGTAGGTATTTGCAATGCAAGGGCCATGCTATTAAAATCAAAGCTTTCATCCAAGGCAATGAGAGCTCCATGAAGACCAGATTCTACTAGATTATTTGCATATTCCTGAAACAGTCGAGAGGTCAAAATGTGTGCCAACAATCTCATATTCAATTACAATTAAAGATATGGAGAAATACAAAAGAAAATCGAGAAGTGGTAATATTATTCATGATTATCCTTTACCAGGTGTGATGAGGTTTGAAGCAGTAATGTAGTTAAATACCTTTAGTCCTATAGAAGTAACCCAGCGTATAACACGCTCATTTGACCATACTAAGACATCTATTAACTCATTTTCTGAATTCTTTCTTCTCTCCTCCAATTGTTTGCGATCATAATTTAGGCGTTTGAGGCATGAAATTCCATACTGCAAACTAGTCCTACAAAGAATATACAATAAAATTAGTTATATACACTTCAATTATGACCTTTATAGATAATTAAAATATATTTCTGTATATATCATACATCACTTAATGTGAAAGGTAGCATTCATTTTTAAAAAATGCCACGCAATTAATTTATTTTGACAATTTAAAAATGAACTCATGTACACTGTAAAATGCAGCCTTGAAATGGCTCATGGCTAGCATGCTTGATTTTCATGTGCAAGGGCTAGTTTGGGGCAATAGCAATTTGTAGCTTTGCCATAACATCACTGGGGTTGCAGATAAGATTTTACAAAGCATTAGTGTGGTTACCTAATGACATTTATGTAATGAAAGGTGCTGCTCATAGGGCAAGTTAGTACTTTGGTAGATTCTGGTTGGTTTAGGGAAGCAATGTCAAATAACTTTGCTTCCCCAAATGGCTTGGTGGTGCTCTGAGAACTGAATTAGTCTTGGTACTAAGGAAAATTCAGATCCTATGAAATATTCTTCATGAACTTACCGATGAAAACTATCAACCATTTTGAGTTGTCCACGAAGGTCTTTTTTATTCAGATGGTCTAACATACGAGCATCAACTAAACATTCCATGAAAGTTGTACGGTACTGTGGCAGTCCAAGGGATGGAAGCCAGCTATTACCAATCCATTCATGATTCATATCTCCAAAAGCCAAAGTTGTTCGTGATGTCTTAGGAGCTGAAGGGCTTGTTAAAGATACCATTTCTTGGATGGCCAAACGTAGTTTCAATCGGTGAAGAGGATTACTATATAAACACATTTAGTTTTGAAAAGAATATAAAAATTACATAGTTTTAATAACAATAATTCATAAATAATTTAAATATAAATATCTAAACACAAATATCTCTCAGTGACTTGATAATTGTACCACACATTTTGCAAACAATATAAAATTATAAAAGTGATGTATTCAACTCTAAAATTAAGAGTGATATGAATTTATAATATCACATTTGACTCCTAGTTCAGATATTTACGCATTTAACATTTCATATTCTCTGCCATTTGTTAAACTGTAAAACATCTGACTTGGATAATAAAAAGATTCCTTGATTTATTCTGTATTTTCATGAGTAATTCTTAAAAGGTTCAAAATGAACAAACTTTTTCTCAACACGCATTTAATTTTGTATCATGTGAAGAGATGAAAATTCAACAAAGTTAATAATAATAACAATTACAATAAAATTAATAATAATAATAATAATAATAATAATAATAATAATAATAATTATTATTATTATTATTATTTTGATAAAAATGAGAAGTTCAAATCACACACTGCAATTTTCAAAAACAAACATTGAATCATAATTTACTTTAGTCACAAGAATTGTGTTACATGAGTTTGTAAAAAAACTCTCTTTGTTGAGTCAATAAAAGTTATTTATGCAGCAAGTATGTAAGGTTTTAATGATCGAGCGGCAACAAAAAGCCCACAGGCTTTTGCCAGTAATACATAACGTTATTTTAATGATTCCAATTTATTCATTTACTATTTAACTAGCTGTTAACTTGACTCATTTTGTCTTCTCATACAACCCTCCCATAATTCCCTCTATAAGAAAACATGTACCACCATCCACAGATTTCATATTTCCCTCATAACCACAAACCTCACAACTCAGGTATAAGTTATGCGGTGGATATCAAACTCCATATTGAAGGCAATAACAAGCAATAACATATCAGTAAAACATAAATAATTTGGTAATTTGACATGTATTACAAAAATTGACTCATCTCAAAAATTACAAATAACTTAATTCTCTAAGAAAATAAATGCTTAATAACACAAATGTTTTCTTTAAAAATATATTTAAAAAACTGTTCTTTAATAATAACTCGTGCAAAACTACTACTATTATATTACCTTATTCCAATTTCTCTTTGAATCTCTGTATCACTGAGGGCACTCATTATAGCTCCTGATTTAACGTTAGCACGGCAAGCAGCAACATACCAGGCTGGCATTCCAACCCACAGTTCCAGCCAAGCCACAATTGTAGGACCATTCCACAGAGCAAAAGGTGTACCTGCTTTCATGGCTTCAGCTAGAAGCTCATGTCTGCAAGAGATGCTACGATGTGTATAGCACAGTTATTCTTTGTTGTAGTATAGTCCGTTGAAATTCGTGTAATTTCAAACACCAAGTATTTCAACACTAACTACTACACATAATTATTTACATACACACACAAACACATTTATTTGAAAAACAAAAACATTAAAAACATGACTCTATATCAAATAAACTAGACTTAAACATTCAGAATTAAATTAAAAATAACAGAACCTTTTATTTATTTGCAATGTAAAGAAATAAAAGTTTCTTTCATTTTATTCTCAACATCAATTTCAGAAAAAAGTTCATATATTTATTGTTTTCTTAAATGGTGATATTTATGATGATTGCACATTGGTGCTTCTTTGTAAAAATTATTTTATTTAGTAATTGATACTACATTAAAACACAGAAATACAATACAATAATTAAGTGCTTTGATACATACTTTTTCTTTTTTCGCCGATCAAAGTCTCCCTTCTGACCTAGGCCACCACTAAGGCTCAAAGTATCTGCTCCACTCATATCACCATCTCCATATGAGGCCGACATTGCAGCTGGATCCACAGGCATGGTTCCCATCATAGGCTCTTTAGTTTTTCCCTGATGCACAATAATGAATTAAGATTCCTTTGAAACAGGAGAATCTTTCATGAATATTAGAACATGTGAAGGTGAATACAATACTAACTTTCTCCTTTTTGCTGAAAAATCGGCCCAGGGATGACTTGATACCTTTCTTCTTTTGAGCAGCTGCAACCGCAGCAGACGCAGCAGTCACTGGCGTTGTACTGCTCGGAATGTTCTTATGCAGCGAATCTTGACTGCTGTGACGAGAAGACAGAGGAGAGGGGGGTGTGGAGTATCCTCCAGGCCTGCACCAACACACAGCCCTAACTAGCCACTACTCTACACAGGCAGCAAAGCTTCTTTCCAGCCGCAGTCCATGGGCGCACTCTCAACTCCACAAGCAGGAAATAGGTACACCCCAACACATTACAATCTTGTGTGCACAGGCACTGTGACAACACACACACATTACGTACAGAAGAAGTAGAGTAGATAGCTGAAAGATGCCACAAAAAATAGGGTGAAGTAAAGTTTGACAGGATGATAAGAGAAACCAAGAACATGTCCAAATATAAGAAAGGATTTTGCTTTCAGTTCCAAATATTTTATCATGCCCACATACAGTGTTTTTATTCCAAAAACTAGGTCTATAAATTCTATAATGTTATCAAGCAGAATTCACTCATTTGACTTTTGATGATTAGAATAATGCATAGGATACATGCATCAAAATAGTTGTGCAAAAAGTAAATAAGAGATCTATTCAAAGCTTCTATCTTTGTAGTAGTACAAAGGTAATAAAAGAAAAGTGTTGGGGATGATAATCTGAAAAGTTAATCTTAAGATTCTGACAACAATAACAGTTGAAATGAGAATGTTGGAACTAATAATGAAAAGTTTGTGAACTACACAATGAGGATTAACATATTTGATACTCAACACTTTTGAGTAACAATATATCTTATATATCTTTAAATTGTAATTATGACATATTATATATATGTATAATTCCCTAAATTTCATCCATAATTGAAACTTTTTTTTAAAGAAAAAAGTAATATATTGACCTTCTAGACATAAAAATTCTTCATAAATTAAATATTTTTTCTATCCCTTGAAAATTGTTTAAAAATGTTTCTATGTATCAAAACTTATTTCTATATATCGGAACTCATTTTCTGACTCTACAATTTTTTCTATGAAATAAAAGTGTACAGTACTTACTATAAATTGTTTCTAATTTAGTATTGTTTAATTTGGAAGGAGAGTATTACTACTGTGGACAATATAACGTTCTTCTGGATGTTTGTGTAATTGAATAAATGTTTATATACTTTTTATGTCCAGTACCCAGGTATCTCATGAAGGTCACACCCTTGCTATCCCTCCCCATGGGAACTTGTAGTTGTGAGAATGTGTTCACCAAAGCGATATGAAGGTCAATTGCATGCCTCTTTGTTTGCCCTATAATGTTAGTTTGTCAGTGCAGGTTCAGTTTTCTGTTATGTGCTTAAGAAGCGTTTGAAACTTCAAAACGAAAATCCCTTAGGGGTACAGAAAGAGCAACACTAATTACATGTCCCTATTAATAAATATGTGGTATGAATTATTAAAACATTTGTTAATTACTTGATGTTTCAATTTTTGTTTAACTCTATTTTTTCAAAATTGTTTTAATTTAATTTGCTAAAATTTCATAATTATTTTTGGGTATCAAAGTTTCTACATTTAGAAGATTATGAAAGGTACAATCAGATTCAACGTATGGAGGCCTGACTGTAATTACAACTATGGTAATAATTTGCTCTACTAAAGACTTAAATTTCTACCGTCATTATTTTCTCCATTTATTCTCATTTTTCCATTGTTAGTATATAATATGCTATCTGTGTGAAACACTCAGACCAGAAGATTATGTTTCAATTAAATAATTATATTAGGCAAATCTTATTTACGCATGTCTTTTAGTGCAACACTAAAGGGAAAATATCTTGTGGGTTGCAAGTTTTTCTTCTTCCTTATATATTTTTATTATCTTGAGCATGATTTTTTTTAAAGAAACAGGTCGTGCAGAGCGGGGAAGAACAGAATAGGGAAAGGCAAGGCGGGTGGGAAAATGGGATGGGCAAAGCTTGAGGGGAGAGGGGAGGTGGCATAGGGAAATTAAATAAAATGACTTTCATATGATGCTACAGATGGATAGAATTCATTTTTTTCCTGTCCAGTAACTGTGATAAATAAATATCCTGGCATAGCCATGTTACTTCAGCTAGAAATATAAAATAGAATATGGTTCCCTTGGAAAACCTAGATTGAAATGAAGTGACTTTAATTTTTTTGCATTGACAATCATAATGAATATCAAAGTATTAAAATGCAATTCCAACTATTATCATTATTTCACAACGATTTCTTTAAGGGGAAGAATTCGTAGAATTCATGTCTACAAAGTGCGCAAATGCTGAAGAAGATGCTATTATTCATATTGATACAAATCAATTAGAAAACATGCAAAATATTTTGAAGTACAAAGTTAAAGATCTTTAATTTCTTATAACTAAACAATATTTATAACATATGTGCAATGTCAATGTTGAAAGGGTATTTAAAAAAAAACTTCCTATTTTTCAGACTACTTGATAAGAGTAGTTTTTTTTAGTAGTAAAGTAAGTAGTAAAAATTTTGATAAAAGTAAAATTTTACAATCAGTATTATTACAATGAATTATTGTAGTGTTGTTATTTAATTCTAAGAACCAACATTAAACTTTATTGAAAAATGTCTTTTTATGAATTTTATTTTCAAACAATTTCTTGCATTATTCACTGAAGTTTTATGATTTGCCTTTCAAATTTGAATAGAATTTATAAAACAGTACAATAATGTATTTATAAAGGCATGTGTTATTCAAAGGATGCTTTGATGAGAATGTGTTTTTAGACGATGAAGATTGGATTATTGTAGAGATTTTTAAGTGCAGGTGTTATAGTCTCTCGATACTTATTCAAAATACACCGGTTAAGAACAACTCTAATTTGCCAAATTAAAACAAAATTTTTTGTTTTCAAGTTGAAATATGATTTATAGGAAAGATTTTAAAAACACTATTAGGTGCGAAACTATACTTATTATTTTCGTTCTCCAATTTCCAAACATATGAACTTAATGAAATTATTATCTGCAAGCATTTACTACTACAGATGAGACTCTGAAATACGAAGGGATTCCCACCATGCAAAGCTTCTAAACTGTGCACACGTCTAATGCAGAGAGTCAAATCTTATACATTTTTCTACACAAGCTAATATTACAAGTTTAAATAACTGATTTACAATCATTATTCCACTTTATGATCTGTGTGTGAATTACAAAACAAGAGTGTGAAGTAACTAATTCCTCCTACAGTATAAGGTCATTTATCACTCAGTATTGACAAATTAAAGTACTTCAGAAGAGTAATGTAATTCCTTACAGCCTATGTCAATTACATCTTTATTCTGAAGGCTATCACCAAACATTTCACTTTGTCTCCAAAAACAATTTTAAAACTATAAAATACAGCATTTTTCTTAGACTAATAGTGAAAACTTATATTTTAACAAAGAATCTTATGCTTAATTAGAAATAAATATAGCTTCACTATGAGAACATTTTGTTGAGATCTTTTGCTACTAGAGGTAGGAGTAGAGCCGGAGGTGTGCGTTGCTATTTTCATAGAAATTCTCTAATATAAAAACTGTAGTTTGTTTACTAAAGTAAATGAATTTTCTATAACTTGGGAGTGAACATTTCTAGTTTTTAAAGTTGCAAACGTCGCTTTGTTTTTTAATCACGATTCAACTGAGTATAGTAAAAGAGTGAGGAAGATATTTTAAAGCTCAAGAAAATGTGTACAGATTGTACTTTTCCCCCATATGTTATATAGAGTTTCTACTGTTTCTGTGATGAAAATGAATGAAATCAAATAAAAGGTTACTGTAAGAGAGAACAACCTAGATACAAAATCATTTTCACTTTAGTCTGGTAATACACACACTATCTTAAGAACCTGGTAATAAACTAAAAAGCAAAGGTACATAGTATCAAAAGTGGTTAAAATACCATTGAATAAGAATATTTTTTCACACAAGAGGTAAGAAAAACTGATTATATAGAGATTATAATATCTAAAAACAATTTTCCATCACAGTTATAAGACATGAAAGCTGTAAATTATTTAATACGATAACAAATTTTAAATTAATAATTATTATACTAAATTTATAATAAATGAAATTATAGGGAGAGGGACAAAAAGAAGGAAAAAAAAAAATTTGAACCTTGTAATAAGAGAACTTGCTTACAAGATGTAATACAGACTGTACTAAGCCCTGATGAATATTACCGACATTTCTCCCGCATTTGGAATTCACTTACAAGGGATTCCTACCTACAGTAACAGATATTGGTTCCAGAGGAATTCTCCTATGCAGTGAGCTTTGGGAATAATTTCTTTTACTATCACACATCCCTGATCAGATGCTGAGAGGGATGGGAATCCCTTGAAGCGTCTGTAAAAACACTTCTTCCGAAATAACCCAGCTCATCTGTGAAAGGCGAAAATCTGCTGCCACTTTCCTAGTGATAAGCTTTGTGGAAAGAGACCAAGGTGTTAGGTTTCTGTCACGAGCTCATTCAGGTTACGTCATTGTACACAGGCAAGTGGGAGCAGTGGGAGCTCTACAGTATTTTAAAAAGAGCAAGGCTCACCATGCTATCAAGTTGAGAACAGTTACAATGTAAGGTAACTTTAGGTGGAGATACATGAACTTTCCATAGCATTTTCTGCTTAGAAGAGTTCCCACATATAAAAAAAAATGTCTTCAGAATCCTCTTATAATGGGGAAAAATTATTTCAGAATCCTCTCTTTCCAAAATCAATGTCTTCAGATACCTCTTATAACAGGGTTCTATTGAATATTCAAAGGCACAGAAAAGGTATTTCAAGTACACTTGAAACCATGCAGAAGAATGTTGCTGAGTGATTAGAACAACTTATGGACACTTGTATTTGGAGGAAATATAAGATGGAGAGAGAATAATAGAGTAGGAAGAAGATATTTTAAATACTAGAAAGCATGCAGTTAGAGTTGATACAAGCTTTGTTATTAACCTGAGAGCTAGAGCAGCAGGAGGCACTGCAGCTCCAGAGGCAGTCCGCCTGCACACGAAGAAAGATAAATGGTTAAAGCTGTTACAATATTTATGCATGTATACACAAAAAATTGTGTATCAGCTTCATGCAAAAAGAGAAATTTGTCTGTTAGAAAAAAATTATTTATTAGTTGGTTCAAGCGACAGAAATTAATTATTAGTAAACCTACAAAAATAAAAATAAAAAATAAATTATTGTAACTTAATTTGTTTGAACCATGCAGATAATAACCCTATAAAAATTACCATTGAATTTCATGGAATAGAACCTCTGTCAATTTTTAAACCACCATAAAATTGAAAAGGAGTGCAGTGAAATGCAATTAAACCAACCTTATTCTGTTCATTGACAATATCATTTGTAATATCTGTAAGTTCTTTTACTAAAATACATAAATTTTTAAGTAATTATTTCAGATCTACTAAAGTTTACCCTTTATTAATTCATAAAAATTCCTTCACACTCATGTATTTTAATTTCTATATAATAAACATAAATATATATTTGTAAGTGAAGGAAAAATTCAGTGAAAAAATGAAGACCCAGTCAGAGAGATACATAAGTGAACACAATAATTGAATTGGAATAGAAATATTGTAGGTTTCAACTCCCCAAAAGATCGTATGCAAGCTCATTATAATGTTTGGATTGTCTTGTTGTAAAATATTATACCCACCTGTTTTCTTGAATGATTGTTTTATTAATAAATCATATATTAAGGTATCCTTTCAATTTTTAGAGACTATGTAAAATTAAAAACAATTCAATATTTATTGAAAAACAAATATGTTTATATAAAACGGGAAGATTTGAATGAATCATTTCATGAAACTTGTTTATCAAAAACTTGTTTGACAATTCAACTCAATGAATAAAGAGTATTTTTTTCAATAAATATTGAATAGTTTTTTATTTTAATATAATACCAGCCTCTTGTAATTTCTTTTTCTTATGACAGAGACCAAATCTGTACGAAAGCAACAGAAATCAACACATTACATCCCCCAAAAATACATAATTTATGAAATACCTGCGAAGTTCTTCTTGACTTTGGGCCAAAGCTTGTGCCACTCGCTCCAACCTCAGAGACCGTGCAGTAAGAGGACTAGCAGCACCACTACTCTCACCACCTGGTGTCATCTGGTGAAGTTCTTCTTTTGAGAGTTCTGATGATAGAGGTGCTAACTGTAACTGAATTCGATTGCAAATTACTCTATGCAAAGTAAATCAAAAAATGCATTTTTTAAATATTAAGAAGTGTTCTTGACAAGAACACACAAAATTTTGCATATTTGTGAAATATATTGGGGGAGGGGGGGCAAAGTATCACCTCATTTGGAATTGTCTCCTTGAGCATGAACAGAAAGAGTGCAGATGAAGCAATAAATGGTTGCTGAGATAAAAACTAAATTAATTCTTGAAAAATACACTTTAACTTTATCATATTGTATTTCTTTATTTAATGTGTCAAACAAAGAAATGTTTTATTTAAAAATTCTTCAATAAACATTTTAATTAGAACGAAACAAAAATTAAAATAATTGAACAAGGTTTACGATATAAGAATACCCATAAATTTCTTAAAATTATTAATAAAAGTTTAGTATTTCTTTATAACGAACAGGTGATGGATAAAATCGTGGAAGGAGGTCTAATACAAAATAATTTTGAGTGAAGGAGTAACTACTTACTTTCTTTTTGTATAAATCTAACACGTACATGATTATAAAGTAATCATAGACAATTTTCATTTACACATGTACCTTTAAGTTGAAGTTACAAAAGATGAATCTTTTTCTTATTTATTTTTAAAGCCCATGAAATAAGAAAACTCTTAGTAAAATAAAATTTGTATATTATAGGGAAAGATTGAAAACAAAACTTAAGAAAGAGTTATTGACATAACTTTGATTTTTTAAATGGAACCCTTTAGATTTCTTTAGCCGACAATAATGAGTGTGGAGGACCAAGTTTGTATACATGGACCCTATGTTCTATAACAATAATTTTGAGAATTTTATTTCAACCAAACTGACCACTCATATTCTGCTACTCTTGAGTGGAAAAACACTACAAGACCGTTCCATGGAGGAATATTCTTCTATGTCCATTCTGTTCGATTGTGTTGGCCCTACATGGTGGAGAAGTATGCAATGCAAAATCCTGAGTGGGAAGGTCATTAAATGCTCCAATTCCTTTGCAGTTCATAGACAATGTAATCGCCCATGGCTATGCCAGTTGCATAAAATGAATTTACAAATCATAACTAGCAGCTTTTAGCCATTAGGCACATGGAATATATAAATATCTGGAACTATTAGTTAACAACTGAACACTCGTAACTACATTATTAGTAGTTATTTTGCAAAACTAATAACTAATCCCACCTACATTATCTCACATTGTTTTGTTCCATTTCTCATAATTCTTATTATTTGTCATTTTTCTCTGTAACTATCATACTTTATTTGCAGACACGTGGTTAAAAAAAATGAACTGTTGCTTTTTGGGTTAAGAAACACTTCTGACTGCTTGGTTGTGAAGAACTTCTACACCATTCTGGTTGAACTGGAACTAATTTTACTTTTTAAACTGTTGTTCTCTACATTATTACAGTATGGGGAGGAAAAGCACAGGAATCCCCTCAACAATACAATCTCGAATATCCAACATAAAATAAGTGTTTAAAGTTGTTTTCAACTGTAAGCACATATATCAGCATTTGGGTCAATTAGTGCTGTTCCACAAATGGTTAAAATTGGTCCAGGAGGATAGGAGATACATACAATTATGTACCCAAAAATTAATTTGTATATATGGATGGGTCACTCGTAACTGTTAGATGAGAAGCATTTGAGCTGAAACTTTGTCAATGTGTCGTGAGTAAGGTCAAATTTTGCCATTCCAGAGATCATTAAAATATTTTATTTTTGGGAGCACTTTACATGAAACCCCTGTGATATTTTCAACTTTTTCTGGAAAATAGCTGCAAATTTTCTCTTGAAATTTTTTGACTGATTAGAAAAAGTGCATTTGTAAGGATGGAATAGTTTTAATTTTCATTAAAACCTCGGACATTTAAAAAACTCAAAAAATATTTATATTTAAAACACTTAGTCTTCATTTAGAAATAAGTTTGAGCTTTCCACTCAACAACCAAATTTCTTGATTTTTACTTTAAATGAACAGTAGTGGAACCATGATGCGTGTTTCCCC